AGAGTTAATCATTTATAAGCGGACGAGTACTGGAATTGAGGAATTCATAGAAATAACCCTCCATTTCCAGACGAATATCCTTTTTACAAAATAAAAATAAATATAATTAATAAAAATATTCTCACAAAAAATCTGTTTGAAATATTAATAAGTCCATGCTAACTGAAGACATAGTATTTGACTAAAAACACTAAACAGAGGTAGATCTGCGAATAAAACTCAACAAACAACAAAATCCTTACTGAGGACTTGTTATTTGATTTAGGTTGTTGTTTTTCAAGTGAACACACAGTAGAAGATATACTTTTGTTAATATTTTATTGCTTTTTATTTTATGAAACCAAGCAGTTGCGGTGGCGGAGAAAAGAAATTTCACTGGTGGGCCTAAAGCGAAGGAAAACCAATAAAAGCGTTCCACTTCTACAGCTGTGTATACTATTCTATATCAATGCAAATCGTCAAACCTGTCGCTTTTTCTGTCGAATTGAGGACGAAGAGAGATCAGAGCTCCAGCTTGTCATTCATTGATTTTAAAACTCCAGCCTAAAATATAATGAGAACTAGTAACAAGACCTGTTGAGAAGGAAGCCAATATACATGGACTCAAGAATATTGGTGAAAGATTGACGTTAAAAGACAAGAGGGCAATCTGGTTTGGAAGAATTTAGAGATGGTGACATTTACAAATTTTCAGATGCATCGTAATCGATCCAAGCAGGATTGGTTTTCCACTCATGAGAATCAATTCTCGTTTGGTTGAACTGTCATCGATGTAGGCTGGCAGTTGAAGACCATTAGAGATCAAGCTGTTGATGTCGATGCCAACGTGGTTGCCGTCGATGTCGTGAACCAGGACTTTGAAATGTATCAAACTCAAGCAGATAAATGATTTGAAGCGTTTCCGTTTGGTCTTATTAAAGAGGCCTAGATAATGACCAGCTACAGTATCATTGAGCTCTTTAGATGGTGAGATGGTGAAGGCCATGCCGTGGCCACCATCATTTGGATAGGAAGGGACGATACCTAGAGCAAATGAGAAGAGAAAGAAAGAACTTCTCCATTTTCGAGTTCTTGAATTGGATTGGCAAGCATAGAAGCTTGGCCTAGTAAACGTTCACTGTCGTTGTTAGCAAAGAACGCCATCTTTCTCAAATTTTGCAGCTCCACTAAGGTTAGGTTGGCGCTGAATCTTTGAATCCTGGAAAATAGAGTTCATTGTCATGAGTTGGGATGATACTGGAATGGAGAGAAAGAGGAAAGCAAGAAGAACTGAGAAATTTCTGGCCATGATAAGGACAAAAAGGGAAAGAACTGTGGACCTTGAATAAAAAACAACTTGATAAGATTTTGAAGAGGTTTGGGGTTATTATTTATCATGAGGGACGGAGGTAGAAAATTTGTTCAGCAGAGTCTGACATTGAACCATTTAAAATAAAGAAAAAAAGAGTATTTTATATCTCTAAAATAGTACACATTATATACTTTACACCTGCGGCTTTTTTATTCTCAATTGTAATTGATGACGCTTTCTTATTATTGTGGCTCAAACCTATTGACAATCCTACTCAAAGAAATAAGTTGTTACTTAAGCAAAACATGCGAGTTTCCAGTCTTTTCAATTAAGATAGTATGGAGGATTGAAGCTACCATTAAACGGTTCTCTAGCAGGTTAATAGATCACTTCATCATAATATACTATCTTATGTCCTATGTAAGTAGATTTGAGACAAAAACTCAATTTTGTATTTCAGTATCCACATAAAATTCTTTATATGAGATATTTTATTAATGACTAACATTATTGAATATCATTAAGATAACTAAAACTATATTTTGATACTTACAATCATAACCAATCATAGCTTATTTTTTATTTGAACTCTAATCATTCTCTATATCATAATTGGGCATACTTTTTTTTTTAATAATAATATTATATTTTGAATGAATAAGATATAATTAATCAAATAGGATAAGATTCAATATGTTTGGTACTTTTGGAAAACATTTTTTAAAATATTTAGATTATTTTTTAACCCCCTACATTTAGCTAAAGACCCTGCAAAAAATAAAGTTTAAAATTAAAAAAAAAACTTTCACTCACCTACTGATTGCCGGTAGCTGCTATTACTATCAGACGGGCTAAAAGTCATCGAATGACGTATGATTGGTTGGATTTGGCTGTCATGCACCAATCTGTCTGTTTTTGGCCAATCATATACCAAATAACGACAAGATATGGTCGTTATCAACGGCCAGATCTTGGTTGTACATTTGGATGTTTCCGACTAGATCCATGGTGAACATGGCTAGAAAGAGAAAGATCGGCTAGATCTAACTGATCGTGAGTCATTCCGATGCTGACGGTGATTGTGGCAAGCATTTTGCTTGAGTAGAATAAGATTTTTTTGTTAATTTATAAACTTTTATTAAGAAATGTAATTGTTAAATATTTGAATGAATATAATATGATTGAATTTTGAATTAAATAGTTAATATTAATAATATATTTTCGCTTTTAGGTAAGATAATAAAATAAAATAGGACGATACTATGAATCTAAATTCTTTCTCTACCAACATTAATATTTGATATGGACATGGGTTAGCTGACAAATCCAAACAAGCAGAGCAGGCATCAACGTCTCTGACTTGCGAAACTTGATTCGTTAAATGTTATACATGTGCTGCTTCTGTTAGCCATTGATAAGGTAATTAATATATTCCAAAACTGATGGAGCCTGCGATAACATAGTCAACTAGTCTTCATGTAACTGTCATTTCGACAAAATTGTTCAAAGGATGTTGCACTGACTAATTAGCAAACAACACAAACGAGTGGAAACCGGATCAATTATATGTCGATAGAAATGCTTACCCATGAATATTTATTTAATCAAATAAATTATATTAATATAAAAAAATATTACATCTAATATAAAATGATACTAAATACAAAATTATAACATAACGTAAAATTTTATATATAGTAATTTAATTTTCTGAATTAATTTTTTTTGAGTTATTTTAACTTTAATATTATATTGAATAATTTATATTTTATATTTTTATTAATTTTTTAATTATATTATTATATGAATTTATTATTATAAATAATAATTAAATTAAATTAATACAAATAATAAATTTGATGTGATTTTTGATATAAAATTAATGCTAAAATATTAAAAAATTAAAAAACAATAAAAAGCAACCATAAAAAGAAAAAAAAAATTATTGGCGCTATAATACCATAGCCATTTTGGCGTGGCGTTCGGAGTGGTTGGCGTGGCGTTGGAGTGGGTGGAGATGCCCTTACTATCAGCTGTCATTCTGCGCCATTATCCTGAGTATCACTATTGGATTGACTTGTCTTCACACATTATTCACTTTCTTCCATTGGCATTAATTGCTTCTGCAACTTCCATATCATCACTGAATCAGAGATATAGGGCCACGATTTCATACAATAATTGCTTCTGCCAACTTTTGTATTGATTTTTAAAAAATGGGCTACGATTTTTTTTTTTAAAATTGACCACGATGCACTGTAGTTGCTTCAACCTGAGATTAATGCATGTGAATTAAATCATCATACACAAAGAAAAAAATAAAAAAAGGACACTACATTTTATATGATTTAACTTATAGCTTCATCACCATGAAAAAGAAAGACGTTAATATCTCAAAGAATAAGAATGAAAAGTGAAAATTCATACAACTTAATAAGCCAAACCTAGTGTAAAAACCAATAAGAGGCCAAATCATATATACTTATAATTATCAGCAAATTTGAATCTTTGTACTTATATGAGCTCGACGGATCAGATGGTCGACCGATCTGATTGGGTTTCGCTATATTTCCGGTTTGAAAAGAGTAAAAACCTGAGATTTTGAATCAGACCGTTTCAAACCGTGGTTTGACCGTATTACTGTAGCAAACCAACGGTCGGCAACCGATATACCATAAAGAGACAGACTAAAACGGCACCGCATGACAACAAGTCTTTGTACCTAATTACAAAATTACCCTTATTGATATTTGGTCAACACTCAACATTCCCCCTTAAACCAAGCTACATACATAAAGATCAACTTGTTTCTTTCACTTGAACATTCTCCTGAAAGCTAAACTTATTAGAGAGCAATTCTTGTTGTCTTCTGAAGTTTTCTGAACTGAACTTGAAGATTGAAAAACATCTCTTGATCACAATCAATTCTTAATCACTTCTTATCAACTCCCAGCAGTAAGACAACAACACCATTTCTTATCAAATCACAGCAGCAAGACAAAAGTACACAACAACACCATTTTTTAATCAACTCACACCAGCAAGACAAAGACATATCTCCTTCAGCAACTTAAAAACTGATACTGCAACATCACACAGCAGAAACACTTCTTTATCTCTACAGTTCAAATACAACATCATTCTGATACTGCAACATCAAAGACATATCTCCTTCAGTCAACTTAAAAATTGATACTGCAACATCACAGCAAAAGTACTTCTTATCTCTGCAGCCCCAAAAAAAAAAAAAAAAAAAAAAATCTTCAACATTCTGCAACATAACATCAGAGCAGCACCCATTAACGGATTTTACTTGACAAAGAAATTTCAAGTTTAGGAAGCGAAGTGGTACATGACAACACTAAACGAGATAATACTCTTACATTGAACAGCAAGCTTACTACTGAAAGCAGAGTAGCCTTTATGCGTGGCATTTCCTCCTCTCATCCTCTGTTTTTAACTTTGATTCTCCAGTGAAAAAAATAATCATTTAAGTCTAGGTTGAGGTTTTCTGAGTGTAAAGAGATGACATGGTACGTGAAATGCTACATTACTCTTGAGAAGATGGAAGTAATTATACATTAATATTTGGATTCAAATCCAAAATCTTTACTTAATTTGTATGCAACATTACTCTTTCTTAAAAAAAGGTCGATATGAACAGTATTTTCATTAGACTGTGTCGAAACAAATATTGCATATGTGAGTATATATCATCCTGGAAATTCCAATGAATTCAGAACTACATAAGAATGAGATCCACCATCAAATCTTTCATTATTATGAGTCGGAAAGCTTCATAAATCCAGTAAATGCACGACTTTAACTAGAAATACACTGAAACAATGGCAAGAAAGGAAGAATAAAATAGAGCTTTTATTACTACAATTCACCTTACTCAGTAGAGTACGAAGAAAAAAGTCTTCATCGTGGATCCATTACAGATATAGTTAAGTTATTTATTGTATTCTCTGCCCTGCTTATTCCACTCGCATTGTCCACAGCAATCTTTCTTTCAATGGAAAATGCAGGCTGCTTTGGCACTGGTAATTTTACTCCTTCATTTGTTAACATAGAAATAACAACTGACATGATAGGTCTGTCCATTTGATTGTGTTCAACACAAAGCAAGGCCAAGTTAATACATCTCAAAACTTGGTCTTCACAAAATGAATCATGTAGTGTTGGATTCATTAGTTCTATGGCTACACCTTCCTTCCACAACTGCCATGCCTGTGTCAAAACCATTAAATATTAAACATTGAGATAAGCAGAGGTTAGTAATTTTAACAAATAAAAATAGCAGCGGTGCTACATTATGAACTTACATATGCAACGAGGTTAAGAGGTTGACCATCATAAAAGATGTTGTTGTTGGACCTCCTACCACTTATGATCTCCAAAATTAAAACTCCAAAACTGAATACATCAGATTTCTCAGAGAAGATGCCACCTATAGCATATTCAGGAGCCATATAACCACTGGATTTCATTTGTAAAGTAGAACTAGTTAATATGTAGAAAAAAAATATGAACAATCAAGTTCACTGGAGCAACAAACTTTAATTTCCATACAAATTCAAAGCGAGATTCTTAAATTTATAGTTTACTCACCGTGTGCCCACAACTCTATTTGTATTTGCTTCAGAGTGAGTTGTGGTAAACACTTTAGCCATACCAAAATCAGATATTTTGGGATTCATATTTTTGTCAAGTAATATATTGCTGGCTTTCAAGTCTCTATGAATTATTCTTAGTCTTGAATACTTATGTAGATAAAGTAGTCCATGAGCTATTTCTTCAATGATGTTAAAATATTTGTTCCAATCAAACAACTTCCTTTTAGATTCATCTGTTATAATGAAAAAAGAAAGGTTTGAGGAACGTGTAACATAATAATCAAGCAAAGTTTCAATAATGTGAAGAAACCAAGCATAGATAGTTAAAGAAATAAGCATATCTACCAAAAACATATGTGTCCAAGCTTTTATTTGGCATGTATTCATAGACCAATATTTTCTCTTCCCCTTGAATGCAGAAACCCAAGAGCCGCACCAGATTGGTGTGCTGTAACTTAGCTACAATTATAAGCTCATTCTTGAACTCCACTAGGCCTTGTTTGGATCTTCCTGATAGCCTCTTTATTGCTACCTCTTGCCCGTCAGGCAACAAACCCTGACAATAACAAATAGTCATTGCTTGATATGGTAGACATAAGCCTTTTGTGAAAGCAAATATACCTTGTAAACAGGTCCAAAACCACCCTCTCCAAGTTTAGTTTCAGATGAGAAATTATCTGTAGCTAGCATAATGGATGACACTTTATATACTTTCAAATTGGCGCCTTTCTTTCCATCGATCTCAAGCTCCTTTGCTTCACTCATTAAGTCAAACATAAACTTTGCTGTTTGGAAATTGAAAAGAAAAAGTTTGATCAGCTTGGCATTCAATAAAATATTTAATCATATTTATTTGCTCTTCATTCCATATATATATGGTTAATTTGTTGCATATATTACCTTCTAGTCGAAATGTTCTCCATCTAATGAAGAAAAAGATACCCACGACGAGTATAACGATTGATCCAACCACTATAGCAAGTGAAATCCCCGTCCATTTCAATATCTCAGGAGCTGCAGCACCTAATAGTGAAATCATTTACACATATAAAAATATTGCCTTCATCTGCTTCTTTGACAATTTTTTTTTCCAATTAAGTTTGTACGTATTAAGATACTGAAATTATAATTATAATATTTTTTCATTGAGCTCTCATCAAACTAAATTATTTTACCTAGGCGTTTAATTCTATCTACAATAATTTACTATTTTAGAAAATTTTATCTTATCAGAGGGTTTTTTATACTTGGTAATTAGTTTTTAAGAATTTTAAGGAGGTTTAATAATCTCAAGAGGATTTATAGTACCAAATTATATGTGAAATCGAATAATATATAATTTATAATAATAATCTTTATTCCTAGGAACTACTAAATAAACCTAGCTTGGAGCTATTAATAGTCAAAACACAATACACTAAATCTAAAATGAAAACAAGGGAGAGTTAATTCATTTTATAAGCGGATGAGTACTGGAATTGAGGAATTCATGAGAAAATAACCCTCCATTTCAACAGACGAATATCCTTTTTACAAAATAATAATAAATATAATTAATAATAATAATTCTCACAAAAAAATTCTGTTTGAAATATTAATAATAGTCCATGCTAAACTGAAGACATAGTATTTTGACTAAAAACACTAAACAAGAGGTAGAGTCTGATGAATAAAACTCAACAAACAAACAAAATCCTTACTGAGGACTTGTTAATTTGACTTTAGGTTTGTTGTTTTTCAAGTGAACACACAGTAAAAGATATACTTTTTGTTAATATTGCTTATGTAATATTATATTGATATATTTTTTTTTTTAGGAAACCAAGCAGTTGCGGTGGCGGAGCAAAGAAATTTCACCGGTGGGCCTAAAGCGAAGGTAAAAAACCAATAAAAGCGTTCCACTTCTACAGCTGTGTATACTATTCAATATTCAAATGCAAATCGTCAAACCTGTCAGCTTTTTCTTGTCCGGAATTGAAGGAAGCGAAGAGAGATCAAGAGCTCCAGCTTGTCCATTGATTTTAAAACTCCAGCCTAAAATATAATGAGAACCAGTAACAAAACCTGTTGAAGAAGAGAAGCCAATATACATGGACTCAAGAAATATTGGTGAAAGATTGACGTTAAAAGACAAGAGGGGCAATCTTGGTTTGGAAGAATTTGGAGAGATGGTGACATTTAACAAATTTTCAGATGCATCGTAATCGATCCAAGCCAGGATTGGTTTTCCACTCCAGAGATTCAAGTTTTTTTTGGTTGAACTGTCATCGATGTAGGCTGCAGTTGAAGACTCATTAGAGATCAAGCTGTTGATGTTAATGCCAACGTGGTTGTCGTCGATGTCGTAAAACTCAGGACTTTGAACTGTATCAAATTCAACGGCAAATAAATGATTTGAAGCGATTCCGTTATTGCTTATATTAAAGAGGCCTAGGTACTGAGTTGGAAAACCTCTGAGCTCTTTAGATGGCGAGATGGTGAAGGCCATGCCATGGCCACAAAATTTTGGGTAGGGAGAGACGATACCTAGAGCAAATGAGGAAGAGAAAGAAAAGACTTCTCCATTTGTCGAGTTCTTGAAATGGATTGGCAAGCTATAGAAGGCTTGACCTTGTAAAAGCTCACTGTCGTTTGTTAAGCGAAGAATGCCATCATTCTCAATTTTTGCAGCTTGACTTAAGGTTAGGTTGGTGCTCAAATCTTTGAACCCTGGAAAAAAGAGTTCATTGTCATTGAGTTGGGATGATACCGGAATGGAGATAAAGAGGATAGCAGAGAAATATGCTAGAAAACTGGCCATGATAAGGGCAAAAGCGAAAAGAACCGGGTTGCATGAATCAAAAACTGTATAAGTATTTAAAGAGTTTAAATGGTTTCGTGAGATTGGAAGAAAGTGAAAAGTATTTTCGGGGTATTTGTTTCTGGGACTATTATCCCACAACTTACTTGAGGTTCTAGTTTAAGTCACTTCTCTCCACATTTGAAGAATTATATATATTCTCTCAATGTTATTTGTAAGTTGTCATTAGTTCATAGATAACACTTCATATCCTTTGGGCCCTGATTGTTTAAACTGAAAACTTAAGGGATGTGTGGGATAATAGTCATCGTTTCTTTTAACAAGGATGGAAGGAATCAAGGAACATACAGAGAAACATACATCCTGTGAAGTGCAGTATAATGCCGCGTGAAGCGTGCAGCATAAGGAACTTTTTTTTTTCAAACAATGTAGCGATTTCAAATGGAATTTGTCACTTTAAAATAATGTGTGTGATTGGATTTGGATGTAACTTGAGACCAAACTTCAGGTAATGTTTACATATTATAATATTTAACTCAGTCAATCGTTGACCATTGTATATATTAATGACACCATCAATAGCTGTACACCATAATACGGGGATGTCCAAATAACTGGTATTAATAATAAATGCTTTATTAATGAAAAAAAAAAAAAATCTTTAACATAAATATATGTTGTTATCGTTTACTTGACTTGGACATTAACTAAGGTCAAATTAAGGAGCTTCATCAAATAGTGCCTTTGTTTGAAATTGAAAAGTTTGAATACTACAGATGATTATTTTTTTATATATATTTTATACCATTTTCAATCAATCACCCCCTAACGTGCAACATATTTATTAAAATTTATACACATAATCAATACCTTTACCTTCTACATATCTATTTTATACCATTTTCAATCAATCACCCCACTATGTTCCCATCGTTTTCGTGCATTATTTTTAGGGGGAACTACTTACACATATCCAAAGTTTGCTATAAAGACAAAGTGGCACCCAAAAGGTTTGGAAATGACAAACATTCACTTTTTGTCATGTTCGGTTAGAAATTTCTATCTGTTAAGAGACAAAAATTGTGAAAAGACTGGAATACCCACCGATCTCCATTTCCAATGCGCGCTAGCAAGGGCCAGTGCCACTGTTTATCACCAAACTTCGCAGGAAAATGCTAAATCAAGTCAAAAAATTGATCGATGACACAAGAGGGCTGTGGAAACGGGCTTAGGGTGAGAATGAAATTACTATACTGTCTTTTAGCAAACAGAAATCCCTAACAAAATATGACAGAAAGTATTTGTTTATCATTCACAAACCTTTTGGGTATCAGTCTGTCTTTATGCCAAACTTTGGGTAAGTGGAAGTTGTTCGGCCTTATTTTTATTTACAGTCAAATGCCGTGGCTCATGCATCCAACCCTTAACCTTCACTAATTCCTCCCATTTCTATATCTTTTAGCATTATTCAAACCCAAACTTCTTCAAATACAATCCAACCACAAAATGAACCTTAAATAAACATTTTACGTGACCCTAACTTTCATCAATGTAACGAAACTTCACTCACGAAAAGTCCAGTCCATGATGTTCTCTTTGCACTTTCCTTAAAGCCAACCCCTTTGACTTGATTTCGGTTGCATGACGAAAGAGATAAGATGAGAGTTACGGAGGGAATGGAAAGGATTAGATAAGATAAGAGAGTTTGTTCTGTTTTAGGATTATCTGGGTTTTATATGAAAGGCATTTTTTTTTTTTTGAATATATAGGTGAGACACTTCCATGAACAAGTTATTTTTCAATTTACACCCAACAAGGGGTTATTTAATATAATTTCCCTTTAAAAAAAAGCGCGACTACTACAAATTTGTTAACTTAAAAAAAGATGGATTAGTAATTGAACCCCATCAAATAAAAATTTCAAACTTCCACTTTCCTAATTTCAATTAAAAAAAAAAAAAAATTCCATTACAATATCTTAAAATCATTATGTTATACTATTGAGAGATTAGTAACTTAATTATCTTAAATTAGAAGGTTAAAGTTGTCGGGGTGCTACATATATTTTATCTAATTTATGTTTTTTACATTAATATTAAATCAGACATTCTCAAGTTTAATAAGATATATGAGAAGATTTCAATTCATTCCCCCTAATAATTCAAATAACTTCTAGATTATATTGTTTATACTATTTTTTATTTAGAGTAAGCGAATATTTCCCACCCAAATAATGATTTAATGACACTTTCCTATTTACAGACTTTTAAAATACCACTTTACTATCCAAATTTATATTATGTTTTCAATTCAGAGATCGTTGCAATCCCACACCACTACTATTCTCTTTTCCAATTATCATTCACAATAACCCTTCAAACCCTAGTCCTATCGATCCTGCCAATCATCAACAATTAAGTGATTAGGGTTTGCGCAACCGCCTCTCCGAAGTCAAATTTTGATAAATCCCAACAACCAAAATCCAACACTCTACTACTAAAAGACTCATCGACCTCCCCTCTTCAAAAGCTCCATAGCTTGGATCTAGTTTGCTCTTTGTTAGCTGCCAAAATATAAATTTGGGTAGTAAAGTGGTACTTTAAAAATCCGTGAGTGAGAAAATGTCATTCAGCTATTATTTGGTTGGGAAAGAGTCGTTAACTCTTTTTATTAATTAGTTAAAATTGGTTGTCCTAATATTATTTGTTTGTTGATGCGTGATTTTGACACTAACCAAACGCACGTGTGAAATGCTGAGCTGACCCAGAAGACACATGTGGATAAAGAATGAGAGTAAAGAAATGATTAGACAATGTTTTAAAGTGGTTTGGATGCTTAAGGAAGCAAGTCCTACGTCCACTGATGTTGTATTAATGATAGCGGTCAGGTCGCGTTTCGCGAGCTGATTTTACAAATGATTACAAGGAAGAGTAAGAGAGAGAGTAGGCAATTTTAGAGAGATTAGCTAATCCCCAAAATTGAGAGAGGAACCCTCAATTTATAGTGGGATAGATTAGGGTTATGATTAGGTAGGATTATCCATACAAATCTTCCTTTATGTCCCATTGCCTATCTTCCAGAGCGATTTACGCGATTTGATGCAAGAATTGGACACGTGGAAGCTCTCTAGCTTCTGGTTGGCCTAGCGCGCACCCACTGCACTGACAGAAGCGTGCTGCTTCTTTCATCACGTGACTCGGTTGCAGGTGTACCCAAGTTCTGACTTTTTCATATTGACCTGGCCTTACGTCAACCCTGCTTTCTTCAGTCATAACATTGTTGTACTATTTTTATTGCATAACTAATTTTTAATCTTAAGCATGTGTAATAAAAGATATGAATTAAGCAATAAAAACTTATGAAAAATAGAAATATTAGTTCAATCTCAGAAAACTTTCGATAATGAAATAATCAATGAAAAACCAACATTTTTGTCATTCTTGATTTTCTAAAATTTAACTTATAAACAGGTCCAAAACAACTTTTCTCCGAATTTATTTTCAGATGAGAAACTATTTGTGGTGTCCATGATGGATGAAACACTATATACTTTTAAATGAATTTTTTTGCTTCACTCATTAAGTCCAGTTGGAACTTCCCTGTTTCAATTAACATGAGAAAGTTGAGCTTTGCATTCAATAAATAACAATAATATAACTTAGTGGACATGTTCTGACGAGTTTAAGGGTTATGCTGTCCCTAGTAATCTTTTCAGAGATCAACCGTAGTTTTCTTCTATCAATACCAAGTTCCTTTTGGATTGACCTGAATGTAGATTGATACTGTTGACAATCCAGTATTAATGAATGCACAATTAGTAGAGATAGTATTAATGACACCATCAATAGCTGTGCACTACGGCCCCATAATACGGGGATGTCCAAATAACAAGTATTGTTTATTTGATTTTAGGTTGGTTTTTCAAGTGAACACACAGTAGAAGATATACTTTTGTTAATTTTATTGCTTATTTTATTTTAGGAAACCAAGCAGTTGCGGTGGCGGAGCAAAGAAATTTCACCGGTGGGCCTAAAGCGAAGGTAAAAAACAATAAAGGTCCACTTTACAGCTGTGTATACTATTCATATTCAAATGCAAATCGTCAAACCTGTCAGCTTTTTCTTGTCCGGAATTGAAGGAAGCGAAGAGAGATCAAGAGCTCCAGCTTGTCCATTGATTTAAAACTCCAGCCTAAAATATAATGAGAACCAGTAACAAAACCTGTTGAAGAGAGAAGCCAATATACATGAACTCATGAAAGATTGGTGAAAGATTGACGGTAAAAGACAGAGGGGCAATCTTGGTTTGGAAGAATTGGAGGATGGTGCATTTAACAAATTTTCAGATGCATCGTAATCGATCCAAGCCAGGATTGGTTTTCCACCAGAGATTCAAGTTTTTTTGGTTGAACTGTCATCGAAGTAGGCTGCAGCTGAAGACGCATTAGAGATCAAGCTGTTGATGTTAATGCCAACGTGGTTGTCGTCGAGTCGTAAAACTCAGGACTTTGAACTGTATCAAATTCAACGGCAAATAAATGATTTGAAGCGATTCGTTATTGCTTATATTAAAGAGGCCTAGGTACTGAGTTGGAAAAACTCTGAGCTCTTTAGAGGCGAGATGGTGAAGGCCATGCCATGGCCACAAAATTTGGGTAGGGAGAGACGATACCTAGAGCAAATGAGGAGAGAAAGAAAAGACTTCTCCATTTGTCGAGTTCTTGAAATGGATTGGCAAGATAGAAGGCTTGACCTTGTAAAAGTCACTGTCGTTTGTTAAGCGAAGAATGCCATCATTCTCAATTTTTGCAGCTTGACTTAAGGTTAGGTGGGCGTCAAATCTTTGAACCCTGGAAAAAAGAGTTCATTGTCATTGAGTTGGGATGATACCGGAATGGAGATAAAGAGGATAGCAGAGAAATATGCTAGAAAACTGGCCATGATAAGGGCAAAAGCGAAAAGAACCGGGTTGCATGAATCAAAAAAATGTAAAGTATTTAAAGGTTTAAATGGTTTCGTGAGATTGGAAGAAAGTGAAAAGTATTTTCGGGGTTTTGTTTCTGGGACTATTATCCACAACTTACTTGAGGTTCTAGTTTAAGTATCTCTCCACATTTGAAGAATATATATATTCTTCAATGTTATTGTAAGTTGTCATTAGTTCATAGATAACACTTATATCCTTTGGGCCCTGATTGTTTAAACTGAAAACTTAAGGGATGTGTGGGATAATAGTCATCGTTTCTTTTAAAAGGATGGAAGGAATCAAGGAACATACAGAGAAACATACATCTGTGAAGTGCATATAATGCCGCGTGAAGCGTGCAGCATAAGGAACTTTTTTTTTCAAACAATGTAGCGATTTCAAATGGAATTTGTCACTTTAAATAATGTGTGTGATTGGATTTGGATGAACTTGAGACCAAACTTCAGGAAGTTTACTATTTATAATTTAACTCAGTCAATCGTTGACCATTGTATATTAATGACACCATCAATAGCTGTACACCATAATACGGGGATGTCCAAATAACTGGTATTAATAAATGCTTTATTAATGAAAAAAAAAAAAAATCTTTAACATAAATATATGTTGTTATCGTTTACTTGACTTGGACATTAACTAAGGTCAAATTAAGGAGCTTCATCAAATAGTGCCTTTGTTTGAAATGAAAAGTTTGAATACTACGATGATTATTTTTATATATATTTTATACCATTTTCAATCAATCACCCCCTAACGTGCAACATATTTATTAAATTTATACACATAATCAATACCTTTACTTTACATATCTATTTTATACCATTTCAATCAATCACCCCACTATGTTCCCATCGTTTTCGTGCATTATTTTTAGGGGGAACTACTTACACATATCCAAAGTTTGCTATAAAGACAAAGTGGCACCCAAAAGGTTTGGAAATGACAAACATTCACTTTTTGTCATGTTCGGTTAGAAATTTCTATCTGTTAAGAGAAAAATTGTGAAAAGACTGGAATACCCACGATCTCCATTTCCAATGCGCGCTAGCAAGGGCCAGTGCCTGTTTATCACCAAACTTCGCAGGAAAATGCTAAATCAAGTCAAAAAATTGATCGATGACACAAGAGGGTGTGGAAACGGGCTTAGGGTGAGAATGAAATTACTATACTGTCTTTTAGCAAACAGAAATCCCTAACAAAATATGACAGAAGTATTTGTGATCATTCACAAAACTTTTGGGTATCAGTCTGTCTTTATGCCAAACTTTGGGTAAGTGGAAGTTGTTCGGCCTTATTTTATTTACAGGCAATTTCTCTTCCCCTTGAATGCAGAAACCCAAGAGCCGCACCAGATTGGTGTGCTGTAACTTAGCTACAATTATAAGCTCATTCTTGAACTCCACTAGGCCTTGTTTGGATCTTCCTGATAGCCTCTTTATTGCTACCTCTTGCCCGTCAGGCAACAAACCCTGACAATAACAAATAGTCATTGCTTGATATGTTAGACATAAGCCTTTTGTGAAAGCAAATATACCTTGTAAACAGGTCCAAAACCACCCTCTCCAAGTTTAGTTTCAGATGAGAAACTATCTGTAGCTAGCATAATGGATGACACTTTATATACTTTCAAATTGGCTCCTTTCTTTCCATCGATCTCAAGCTCCTTTGCTTCACTCATTAAGTCAAACATAAACTTTGCTGTTTAAAAATTGAAAAGAAAAAGTTTGATCAGCTTGGCAGTCAATAAAATATTTAATCATATTTATTTGCTCTTCATTCCATATATATATATGGTTAATTTGTTGTATATATTACCTTCTAGTCGAAATGTTCTCCATCTAATGAAGAAAAAGATACCCATGACGAGTATAACGATTGATCCAACCACTATAGCAAGTGAAATCCCCGTCCATTTCAATATCTCAGGAGCTGTAGCACGTAATAGTGAAATCATTTACACATATAAAAATATTGCCTTCATCTGCTTCTTTGACCATTTTTTTTTCATTGAGTTCTCATCAAACCAAATTATTTTACCTAGGCGTTTAATTCTATCTACAATAATTTACTATTTTAGAAAATTTTATCTTATCAGAGGGTTTTTTATACTTGGTAATTAGTTTTTAAGAATTTTAAGGAGGTTTAATAATCTCAAGAGGATTTATAGTACCAAATTATATGTGAAATCGAATAATATATAATTTATAATAATAATCTTTATTCCTAGGAACTACTAAATAAACCTAGCTTGGAGCTATTAATAGTCAAAACACAATACACTAAATCTAAAATGAAAACAAGGGAGAGTTAATTCATTTTATAAGCGGATGAGTACTGGAATTGAGGAATTCATGAGGAAATAACCCTCCATTTCAACAGACGAATATCCTTTTTACAAAATAATAATAAATATAATTAATAATAATAATTCTCAAAAAAAAATTCTGTTTGAAATATTAATAATAGTCCATGCTAAACTGAAGACATAGTATTTTGACTAAAAACACTAAACAAGAGGTAGAGTCTGATGAATAAAACTCAACAAACAAACAAAATCCTTACTGAGGACTTGTTAATTTGACTTTAGGTTTGTTGTTTTTCAAGTGAACACACAGTAAAANATGCTTTATTAATTATAAAAAAGAATCTTTAACATATATATATATTGTTATTGTTATTGTTTACTTGACTTTGAATTAACTCAGGTCAAATTAAGGAGCTTTATCAAATAATCCTTTGTTTGAAATTGAGAAGTTCGAATACTTCATGATTTTTTTTTTTTTAATATTTTTTTATACCATTTTTAATCAATCACCCCTGACGTGTGACATATTTATTAAAATTTATACACATAATCAATACTTTTACCTTCTAACATATTAAATAAATAAGACAATTGACTTAAAAAACAAAAAAAATAGATAAATGTTTAGTGATTCTCATATTACAATAAAACATGTCTGTAAGTATTTTTGTCAAATTATGAATTCAGTGTGATAACACTAATTTTTGATGTCGTGACATCTCTTTGTTTATGCACAATTAATCGTGTCATGATTTCTTGGTGTCACCACACTACCTCATTGTCCATGTGATGGCACGAGCCCAGCCATATATTTTATGCACACATGTTACGTCTCCAATAGTTGCTAGGATATTATCCTTATATGAGATATGTGTTTGTGGTCCTTGTACACTTGTCATTAGTCCATATGGCGTACTAGAAGATTCGTTTTGCCTTGTCTATGGTCTCAAAGAAGTTTGTGTGAACTTTTCTAAAAAGGCGAAAGTGGAATACTGGATTCTTTGCTAAGTGAATAGTACTCTGACTGTCAGAATAGATAGTGATCTTCTTCTGACTAATTTTCAATTCATCCAATAGCCCTTGTAACCAAATAGCTTCCTTCACAGCCTCTGTAACTGCCATGTATTCTGTCTCTGTAGTAGACAAAGCAACTGTAGACTGCAAAGAATATTTCCAACTTACTGGAGCTCTAGCAAGAGTAAANATTAAAATTATAATATGTTTTAATTGGGTTCTCATCAAACTCAATTAATTTGCGTACATCAATTTAAGGGTTTTTTTTATACTTCATAATTAGTTTATAAGAATTTTAAGGAGGTTTAATAATCTCAAGAGGATCTAAAGTACGAAATTATGTATGAAATTGAATAATATCCTAAAGAGGGTCTACAATATGTGTTAATCTTTATTCCTAGCAACTCCTAAATAAACCTAGCTTCGAGCTGATTATAGTCCAACACAAGTATACACTAAATCTAAAATGAAAACAAGTGAACTGTAATGTAAATATTTTATTGTGATGGTGGGCCCAAAGCGAAGGTAAACAACGAATAAAGGCGTTCTACTTCTACATTTCAGCATTACTGATTTTCTTGATGACGTAGAATAACATATTACTATTCAATATTCAAAGGCAAATCGTCAAACCTGTCTGCTTTTCGTTGTCCGGAATTGACGGAAGAGAAGAGAGATCAAGAGCTGTAGCTTCTCCATTGATTTTAAAACTCCAGCCTAAAATATAATGAGATTGAGAAGCACCAATAGAACTTGTTGAAGAAGAGAAGCCAATATACATGAACTCATGAAAGATTGGTGAAAGATTGACGTTAAAAGACAAGAGGGGCAATCTTGGTTTGGAAGAATGTGGAGAGATGGTGACATTTAACAAATTTTCAGATGCATCGTAATCGATCCAAGCCAGGATTGGTTTTCCACTAATGAGACTCAAATTTTGTTTAGTTGAACTGTCATCGATGTAGGCTGCAGCGGAAGAGATATTCGACGCCAAGCTGTTGATGTCGATGCCAACATGGTTGTCGTTGATGTCTAGAAACTCGGTATTTTGAATCGTATCAAACTCAACCGCAAATAAATGATTTGATAAGCTTCCCATGTTGGTTTCATTAAAGAGGCCTAGGTACTGAGCTGAAAAACCTCTGAGCTCTTTAGATGGTGAGATGGTGAAAGCCATGCCATGGCCCCGAAATTCTCGATAGGAAGGGACGATACCTAGAGCAAATGAGGAAGAGAAAGAAAAGACTTCTCCATTTGTCGAGTTCTTGAACTGGATCGGCAAGCTATAGAAGGCTTGACCTTGTAATTGTTTAACGATATCGCTTGTAAAGTCAAAAATGGTATCGTTTGTTAAGCCAAGAATACCATTTTTCTCAATTTTTGCACCTCCACTTAAGGTTAGGTTGGCGCTCAAATCTTTGAATCCTGGAAAATAAAGTTCATTTTCATTGAGTTGGGATGATACTGGAATGGAGAGAAAGAGGAAAGCAGAGAAGAACATGAGAAAATTTCTGGCCATGATAAGGACAAAAAGGGAAAGAACTGTGGACGCTTGAATAAAAAACAACTTAATAAGATTTTGAAGAGGTTAAGAGGTTTGGGGGTATTATTTATCAAGAGGGACGGAGGTAGAAAATTTGTTCAGAAGAGTCTGACATTGAACCATTTTAAAATAAAGAAAAACTCACATTATTTTATTATCTCTAAAGTAGTACTCATCATATACTTTAGAGATAATGATTTACAAAACAAAAAAGGTATCTAAAACAATAAACTTGGAGACACAAAACATTAACATAAATTATTTATGATTTTAGAGTCTTATCCTTACCTTGAAAAAAGTAGTCTTTGGTCATAAAACGACCATAGATCTAACCCTGAAACAGTGTACAACTAACCATATACGGTTGATCGTATGCCATTATGACGATTTTTGATAGCCTTCGCCGGTGGTCCACGGTGGTTGGTGGTAATGGCTAGTTCTAGGTACAATGATATTTCTGTAAATAATGATAATAATAAGGGTAATGTCATCCTAAAAATTTAAAAAGTGAGGACAAAAGGATTTGTATGAGTGAATAGGGTGTTTTGTAAATCTTAACAAATATAAAGCTAGTTTAGACCAAATTCTCAACTGTATGTGAAAAGTCAGATAAACCATGTGAAAATGGACCAGAATATTACTAAAAAATTACTTCTAGTAGACAGTGGATAAAAGCTTTATTTATTAAAAAAAAAAAAAAAAATTTAAGCAGTTATTAGGAAACTGGCCCGCCGATTCAACCGATTCAAGTTCAACCGAGGCCCAAGGGGAGTTGGACTGCTGGTCGAAGGGGCAAAAATATATACTGCATATGTTATAAATGTTTCAAAATTACTTCTGAAATTGTCATGCTAACTTTAGATAGTACATTATGTGCTTAGATAACAAATAATTGTTATATTCATTTATCAAATTGATAGATATATAATAAGGTATAAAGTGAAATCGAGAAGTTTGGCACATTTATTTATTTATTTTCCATGTAAAACCGTAAAAGGTAGTTAAAATTTATGTGTTCATAAATCCAAATTAGTAATTGATGACGCTTTCTTATTACTGTGGCTCAATCCCATTGACAAATCCTACTCAAAGAAATAAGTTGTTATTTAAGCAAAACATGTGAGTCGCTAGTCTTTCTCAATTAATTGATAGATGGAGCATTGAAAGTATCATTAAACCGTTCGTTAGCAGGTTAATAGATTACTTCATCATAATATACATATCGTACATCTTATGTTAAGTAAAGATTTTAAGACAATAAACTCAATTTTGTGTTTTAAGTATCCAAATACAATTTCTTTATATTATTTTTTTATCTAATGACTAACATTATTGAATAATCATTAAGATAGCATAAAACTATATTTTGATACTTACAATCATAATCAATCAATTAAGACGTACCATTATTTTTCATTTGAACTCTAATCATACTCTAAATCATAATTGGGCCTGTTTGGTATACTTTTTTTTTTTAATAATATTCTATTTTGAATTGGATAAGATATGATATAATCAAATAGGATATGATTCTAAGAATGTGTTTAGTGCATTTTTTGAAAACATTTTCTGAAAATATTTAGATTATTTTTTAACTCCCTACCTTTTAGCTAAACAACCCCCACAATAAAAGTTTATAAATTAAAAAAACACTCCCACCCACCTAATTGATTGCCGGTAGCAGGTTACTATTACCGGACGGTGTCTAAAAGTCACCGGAATGGCGCATGGCTTGTTGGATTTGGTTGGTCGTGCACCAATCTGGTTGTTTTTTGGCCAAATCTACAGCCAAATGACAACCAAGATATGATTATCATTAACGGCCAGATCTTTGACCGTATATCTAGCTGTTTTCAGTCAGATCCATAGTGAATATGGCTAGACATAGACAAGTCAGCCAGATCTGACTGATCGTGAGTCATTCCAATGCTAATGGTGATTGTTGACAAACGACTGTTGTTTAGGTGGATGAAATTTTTTTTATTAATTTATAAACTTTTATTAAAAAATATAATTTTAAATATTTTGAGTTGAATATAATAAGATTAGATTTTAAATTAAATAGTTAATATTAAAACAAATATATTTTTCACTTTTTAGAATAAATAGTAAAAGAAAATAGAGTAACGTATTCATATGTATCTACATTCTTTCTCTACAAACATTAATATTTGATACGGACATGTGTTCGTTGACAAATCACAACAAGACAGAACAGCCTGTCCCCAAACTCCAACGTCTCTGACTTGTCAAAATTTGATTCGTCAAATTTTATACATGGTGCTGCTTCTGTTAGCCATTGATAAGCTAATTAATGATATTCCAAACTGACTGCGTTTAATAAAATAACATCAGTCAACCAGTCTTTTTTTTTTTTTTTTTTTTTTCATTTTAAAAGGACAAAATTCTTCAAAGGATGTGCACTGACTAATTAGCAAACAACTCAAACGAGTGGTCACTAAGTCGAAATCGAATCAATTATATGTGGATAGAAATGCTTCCCTCGCGATTTTCGTTCGCTATGGTCCAGGTTGTACCGTTTTGACTACGTAATATTTAATAGAAAATTAGCACTCAGAACTTTAACTTTTTCATACATCTTAGGAATTAATATATACACGGTTTTTACAAAAGAGATGAGGTAAATTTCCACCAACCTTCCTACAAGGAACATCAAGGACTCTCTAATGTTTTAGGTGAGGTATCCTTGTACTGCTCATGTAACAGATTTGCTTTTGCATTGCAGTGTGCTCATCTATTGCTATGGCTAGGTGCAATAGCAGATCCAAAAATTCTTGTTAGGATGGGTTAAAATAAAATATAATAGTATATAATATTCATATTCTATGTTTTTAGTTGAAATTGATATAAAAAGAAAAAAAATTACTTATAAATATTTTTTAAAAATAATTTGAGGAATACTCTAGATTCACCCCTGGCTAGGTGTTGTTCTCTTATTGGGTTGATTGGATGCCAGTTGTAGTCTTATTGTTGGTCAAGGTGTTACTCCTTTCCTTATGTATTTTCATTTTCTCTCACAAAATGAACTCATTGCTTAGCATCAAATTAACTTATTATAACCACTACTGAGTGGTATGATGGTAAAAGAGTAAATGAGGATCTAATATGATTTCTCAAGTTTGAGTCTCATTGATGACAGAAGAGTAAAAGGAGCATCTAACATTGTCTTTCGAGTTTGAGTCCCCACGACCTCTAATAAAGATGATCACTAGAGTTTGTATCCGACTGATGGTTTCAGAGTCTCAAAAAATTAGTTAAAGTGTACGCAAACTGATCTAAACACCCCTAAGCAATAAAAAATAAATAAATTAATAAATAACTTGATGTCTGCTAGAAGATAAGAGTTCTTATAAACTCTATGCTTTACTTAGCGTATGTGTGTGCCTCCATTTCTATTTGATGATTTTTGATAAAAGAGAAGAAATGAAAGCTAATACAGAAGAGAAAAATCAAGACAATCAAAGTTTAAGAGAATTCGAATGAATTTTCGTTAATTGATGAAATGATTACAAGCTGCTTTATATACTTAGCAGAAATGACAGTTACACGTGTTTGGTGACTTCTTGAAATGTAAACTTGGGATTAAGTTCAATCATTCAGATACCAAAAAAGATATAGATAGAAATAGTGTTCTATTTATGAGTTGGAAAGCTTCACAGCTTTCGGTAAATCCAAGATTTAATCAGAAAAAACACTGAAAGAAAACGAAATCCCTCTTATTTCTGTTATTCTCCTTGCTGTGGAATCTACAAAGAAAAGAAGTCGGATTTACACAACTTAGGAAAATGAATTGCTGGATTCACGCCCTGTTCTCCCTGTCAACAGAACGTTATACTATGAGCTGTCATGTCTGCGCCATTAGTCCTCGAGGCATCACCAGTTGGAGCTGACTTGCCTTGACACATCAACAGGTTGGTAAACTCATTTCTTTCACTTTCTTCCATTGGCATTAATTGCTTCTGCAACTTCCCATATCAATCACAGATATAGGGCCACGATTTCATAGAATAATTGCTTCTGCAACTTTTATATTGATTTTTAAAAAATGGACTATAGATAGAAATAGTGTTCTATTTATTAAATTTGATGGAAACAATTCTTAAAAATGTGTACACATCTTTATGAAAATTCCAACTAATTCATAACTGTATAAGAATGGCTTTCATTATTATGAGTTGGAAAGTGTTGGTTTTGAGCCGGTGAATTCTAAAAAAGATAAGGAGATAAAATGGAAATACTGAACTTCACACTTTCATTACACTACAACTACCATTCAGATTTTTAAATTTAAAAACAAAGTTGGCCACTTAATACATCCTTAATCTAAGCTGATTACACCAAATCATGTCACAAAACCAACAACTTCAGCAGCTTCAATCTCGGCAGACAAGTGGGAATGCAGCAGCAATTTGGTGCCAAAAACTCATTCAAAACAAACTAACTTCAACTGAATTTCCAGCAAATTATCAATACTTCAACAGAAAGCTTCACAGATTCCGGTAAATCCGAGATTTAATCAGAAAAAACACTGAAAGAAAACGAAATCCCTCTTATTACTGCTATTCTCCTTGCTGTGGAATGTACAAAGAAAAGAAGTCGGATTTACACAACTTAGAAAACTAATTACTGGATTCACGCCCTGTTCCATTAGTCCTCGAGTCATCACCAGTTGGAGCTGACTTGTCTTGACACGTCAACAGGTTGGTAAACTCATTTATTTCACTTTCTTCCATCGGCATTAATTGCTTCTGCAACTTCCCATATCAATATTATGCCTGCTTCAGCCTTCAGTGCCTGCAAGACAAGAATTAAATCAGCAAATAGGGCCACGATTTGATACCCTGAAAATATATGTTATGAAACCTTATTATTGTAGGATATATACAAGTATTCATGTAAGAAAAAATGTACATGACCTCGCCTTCATCGTGGATCCATCTCAGATATAGTTAAGTTATTTATTGTATTTTCTGCCCTGTTTATTTCACTCGCATTGTCTGCAACAATCTTTCTTTCAATGGAAAATGCAGGCTGTTTTGGCACTGGTAATTTTACACCTTCACTTGTTAATAACAAAGAAATAACAACCAAAAAATTAGGTCTGTCCATTGGATTGTGTTCAACACAAAGCAAAGCCAAGTTAATGCATTTCAAAACTTGCTCTTCACAACATGAATCATGTAGTGTTGGATTCATTAGTTTTATGGCTACACCTTCCTTCCACAACTGCCATGCCTGTGTCAAAACCATTAAATATTAAACATTGAGATAAACAAAGGTTAGTAATTTTAACACATAATAATAGCAGCAGTACTACATTGTGAACTTACAAATCCAACAAGGTTGAGAGGTTGACCATCATAAAAGATATTATTGTTACACCTCATACCACTTATGATCTCCAAAACTAAAACTCCGAAACTGAATACATCAGATTTCTCAGAGAAGATGCCACCTATAGTGTATTCAGGAGCCATATAACCACTGGATTTCATTTGTAAAGTACAACATTATTATGTAAAAAAAAAATGAATAATCAAGTTCATTGGAGCAGCAAACTTTAATGACAACACAAATTCAAAGAGAGATTCTTAAATTTATGGTTTACTCACCGTGTGCCCACAACTCTATTCGTATTTGCTTCAGAGTGAGTTGTGATAAACACTTTTGCCATACCAAAATCAGATATCTTGGGATTCATATTTTTGTCAAGTAATATATTGCTGGCTTTCAAGTCTCTATGAATTATTCTTAGTCTTGAATACTTATATAGATAAAGTAGTCCTTGAGCTATTTCTTCAATGATGTTAAAATATTTGTTCCAATCAAACAACTTCCTTTTAGATTCATCTGTTATAATGAAAAAAGAAAGGTTTGAGGGACGTGCAACATAATAATCAAGCAAAAGTTTCAATAATGTGAAGAAACCAAGCATAGATAATTAAAGACATATGCAAATATACCAAAAATATATGTGTCCAAGCTTTTATTTGGCATGTATTCGTAGACCAATATTTTCTCTTGCCCTTGAATGCAGAAACCCAAGAGCCGCACCATATTGGTGTGTTGTAATTTAGCTACTATTATAAGCTCATTCTTGAACTCCACTAGTCCTTGTTTGGATCTTCCTGATAGCCTCTTTATTGCTACCTCTTGCCCGTCAGGCAACAAACCCTGAACAATAATAAATAGTCATTGCTTGATATGTTAGACATAAGCCTTTTGTGAAAGCAAATATACCTTGTAAACAGGTCCAAAACCACCCTCTCCAAGTTTAGTTTCAGATGAGAAATTATCTGTAGCTAGCATAATGGATGACACTTTATATACTTTCAAATTGGCGCCTTTCTTTCCATCGATCTCAAGCTCCTTTGCTTCACTCATTAAGTCAAACATAAACTTTGCTGTTTGGAAATTGAAAAGAAAAAGTTTGATCAGCTTGGCATTCAATAAAATATTTAATCATATTTATTTGCTCTATATAAACAGTTAATTTGTTGTATATATTACCTTCTAGTCGAAATGTTCTCCATCTAATGAAGAAAAAGATACCCAAGACGAGTATAACTATTAATCCAGCCACTATAGCAAGTGAGATCCCCGTCCATTTCAATATCTCAGGAACTGCAGCAGCCAATCGTGAAATCATTTACACATATAAAAATATTAATTGTCTTCATCGCTTCTTTGACCATTTTTTGTTTTTTGTTTTTGTTTTTGTGCAATTAAGTTTGTACGTAGTAAGATACAGAAATTATAATTATAATATTTTTTAATTGAGTTCTCATCAAACTAAATTATTTCATACTAAATTATTTCATTGAGATTATATTTATTTTGTATGTAATGTAAATATTTTATAGCTAATGTTATTTTATGCAAATATTATATTCATAGATATATTTTGTTTTTTTTCTTTAAAAAAAAGGAAACAAGCAGTGGGCGAGCAAAGAAATTGTACTGGTGGTCCTAAAGGAAAGGTCAACAACGAATAAAGGCGTTCTACTTCTACAGTTGTGTATACTTTTAAAAAATTTCAGCATAATTTTCTTGATCAAGTAAAATAACAGAATATTGGGTCCGTTTGTTTTGTTATTTTGGATAGGATTTTGAGAATAATATTGGATAGTTGAATAGGGGAGTATTACGAGGTAAAATTTAAAATTTAACAAAAAAACCCCTAGGTTTGCTAATTTAACTAAACACCCCAATATATAAAATTTTTATAAAATGACAAAAATACCCCCACCCACCCACAGTGCCAGATTTCAGCCACCACCGACAGAATCTGGCTGAAAAATGACTTTACGATGCAGATCGGTCAGATATGACGGGTAGAGCGTCGATATGTCCTTTTCCGATGGATCTGGCCGGAAAAGGCTAGATCTAGGGCCAAATCTGGCTGTCGACGGTTGCAAAAGTCCAGATTTGGCCATTAACAATAGCCAAAGATATGGCCGTCATTGTCGGTCAACGATAACCAAGATTTGGCCATCACTGATGGTCAAATCAGTGAATCACTGGTCAGTTTTGATCGTTTGTAAGCCGTTGTGATAGATTCTGGCTACCAGTGACGGTAGTTGCTAGAATCTAGCAAGTATGGGTGGATGGGGGTGTTTTTATTAATTTTTAAACTTTTTTTGGAGGTATTTAATGAAATTAATAAGCTTAAGGGGTCTAAAAGTAATTAAAAAAATATACTAATATTTCTCAAATAACAAAACAAATAAGTGTTTTGGGAATATGATTGGGAATATGGATAAAAATAATAAACCAAAGGAGACTATTCAAAGGCGAATTGTCAAACCTGGGTTCTTTTTCTTGACCGGAATTGAAGGAAGAGAATGGAGATCAAGAGCTCTAGCTTCTCCATTGATTTTAAAACTCCAGCCTAAAATATAATGAGAACTAGAAAGCTGTCCTGTTGCAGAAGAGAAGCCAATATACATGAACTCATGAAAGATTGGTGAAAGATTGACGTTAAAAGACAAGAGGGGCAATCTTGGTTTGGCAGAATTTGGAGAGATGGTGACATTTAACAAATTTTCTGATGCATCGTAATCGATCCAAGCCAGGATTGGTTTTCCACTCGTGAGACTCAAATTTTGTTTCGTTGAACTGTCATCGAAGTAGGCTGCAGTAAAAGAGACATTCGAACTCAAGTTGTTGATGTCGATGCCAACATGGTTGCCGTCGATATCTCCGAACTCAAGATTTTGAAATGTATCAAACTCAACGGCAAATAAATGATTTGAAAAGCTTCCCATATTGGTTCTAGAAAAGAGGCCTAGATGCTGACTTGATGTACCATTGAGTTCATTAGATGGTGAGATGGTGAAGGCGAGGCCATGGCCACCAAGTTCTGGAAACCGAGGGACGATACCTAGAGCAAATGACGAAGAGAAAGAAAAGACTTGTCCATTTGTGGAGTTCTTGAACTGGATCGGCGAGCTATAGAAGGCTTGACCTTGTAGAAAATTACTGGTATCGTTTGTTAAGCAAAGACTGCCTTTTTTCTCGATCTTTGCATCTCGACGTAAGGTTATGTTGGTGCTCAAATCTTTGAATCCTGGAAAAAAGAGTTCATTGAGTTGGGATGATACTGGAATGGAGAGAAACAAGAGAGCAGAGAAAAATCTGAGAAAGTTGGCCATGGAAAGGACAAAAAGTGAAAAATATATTAATCTGGAAGAAACCTTATTGGGGAAACATATTTTTATAAAGGAGATAGTGAGTGGTAAGTTTCCAAGAAGGGAGATAGTAGTCAAAGCGATTCATGTAAAGTCCATAAAAGCGGCAATAGACTTAAATTGAATCCTGTATGGATTTATCTCTTTGATATTGTCAAGGCCATAGTCACCATACCCAACCCAACCCCATCAAATCTATGGGATAAAAAAAACCGTATATTGGTAGGTTTTCTATTCGGGTGACCCATGTGGAGAAAGTCTTCAAACTTAAAAATCAACTTAACACCGTACAATGGAACGCCAACACCACAGACTGTTGGAAATTGGTTATTTATAAAGTTAAAAGAAAAAAAATTGTGAGTTATTTATGAAACAATATAATGATTCAACCAAAAGACAAATTGTTTCATTTGAATCAACATGTTGTTTCATGGAACAGTGCAATGTTTCAAAAGGCATTGTTTCATGAAATAATGCAATGTTTCAAACTCTATATAAAGACAAGATGGAAGTTCTTTTGAGACACACAAATAAATCAAAACAATCTTATCTTCCTTCTTTTCTTCTCTATTTGAACTAGCAAAAAAAACTCAAAAAGCATTCTCTTATTAATTTGGTGATTTTCATTATAGTTTGGTGCAGATTCACAAAAGGCTTGTCATATCCTGAAAGCGGTTTGCATTAGAAACCCACAAGCAATTTAAAGGGGTCAAATATCGCTTTTTGGAAAGTGTAATCTTACGTGTTTCAAGTCTCTTTATTGAATTTCCCCAACAATCAAAAAGCTATATTTCACTTCAATGGAGACTGGAACAACAGTTTCAACCATCAAATTGATGAATCAAGATTTGGTGCGACTTGATCGTTTTGATGGATCGAATTTCACTCGTTGGCAGGACAAATTGCGTTTTCTGCTTACTGCTTTGAAGATCATCTATACTCTTGATCCTGATTTGCCACCACTGCCAGAGCCCACTGATGAAGACACCGATGAAGTGAAGGCAACCAGGAAGAAGAGGGAAGATGATGAATTAATCTGCCATGACACATTTTGAACGCCTTGTCAGACACACTCTTTGATCTCTACTCCAACATGAAATTTGCCAAGGAGATATGGAATGCTCTAGAATTCAAAAATAAGGTTCAGGAGGAAGGTACCAAGAAATTTCTGATTTCTAAGTATTTTGATTTTAAATTTCTTGACGATAAACCTTTCTTGCCTCAAATTCATGAATTACAATCATTGTCAATAAGTTAAAGACTACAAAAATATAACTTCCTGAATAATTTCAAGTTTGTGCTATAATTGCAAAATTACCACCAACTTGGAAAATTTATAGGAAGAGGGTTCTTCATAAAAGTGAAGATTACTCTTTGGAAGAGATTTAGAAACATTTTCGTATTAAGGAAGAATCGCGTTCAAGAGACAAGTCTGAGGAAACAAATTTTGATCTTTCTAAGGCAAAGGTAAATATTGTGAACAAATCCAATCATTTGGTGAACTCTATTCAATGTTTAGGTACCCATTTTAAAGTGCAGCAGAAGTTTTTACCAAGTTGATTAATGGTTATCAAGTGAAGCATGAATCAACATCCATAAACAATAAATGTAAAGCACACTAGCATATACATGGTTTAGCTAAAACCACTCTTAGCTTGCATCCATGGGACCTCGTCCAAATTGAAGCAAATCCACTAAACAACAAACATTACAAGATATAGTTCAAAGTTGATTTTAGCTACAACAAAGAGAACTCCCTGTTCTAGTTACACTAAACACCACCCTCTGAATCTCTAATGTTTTGTTGCTTTCAAGAACTCCTTTACATTGGGAACACACCCAAAGAACACTTGAGCTCCACCCAAGCTTTACAAGCTGAAGCCACGCTCCAACATTAACAATGGAACCAAATTCCAGCAACCATTCAATCAAGTATATGAGATATGGTGAAGGTTTGGCACATAAACGAAGTTAGACCTTTCAAGAAAAACTCTCTGAAATTTTCAGAGCACAAACAAAACAAATATCAAAAGGTTAGTTCACAAATACACAAGAAAGAAGAATATAAAGAAGAGTTTTCTTACTCAACAATTTGTGCCAAGTCAGCAAACAAGGGCTGACTCATGTTTGTCCAAATAAGGAAAAGATTCCTACTAAGGATGGCTCGTACCAACTTCAAGTTCTAGCCTACTTTACTTCTACTTCCATTGAAGCTTTGTCTCCTTCACTATCTTCTTCACACGGTTTCCAATTAACATCATTGCACAAGTCCTACCTCATTTTATTGTTCTTCAAATAAGGATCCTCTTGCATTGTCTCATCAATCACATTTGTTTCCTTTAGGTTTCAATAAATGTACTATAGATTTTACTTTCAGTAAAGATAAAAACTATAGAAAGTACATTGATCTTTCTATACCAAGCATTGTATCCTCTATTGATGTAGCACCTATTATCAATAAAAGTACTGTTTTGCAATCCTCTGTTGTTGATAAATCCTTTAGAACTAAAACAGATGGTTTTCAATCTTTTCCTGTCTAGAAAACTGATATTATGATACGACATAAATGACTTGGTCATCCCAATTTCTTAGATCTTACCAATATTCTTAAAACCTTGGGGATTCCTTTTCATACAAAAACTGGTCTCACAGTCTATCCAACTTGTCAATTTGGCAAGCTGCATCAATCTACCTATCCGAAGTCCACTTTTCAAGCCTCTAAACCCCTTGAATCCATATACTCAGACCTTTGGGGATCTTCATCTATCCCTTTACCTGAAGGTTTTAAATACTACATCCAATTTTTAGACGATCACACAAGATTCACTTGGATTTTTCCTTTAAAAACCAAGTCTAAACCTTACACAATCTTTACTCAATTTCACAAGGTTGTATCCTTGTCCACACACTAATCAACCAAATGGGAAGGTAGAGAGAAAATATAGACAACTAGTTGAACAAGGATTAATTCTTCTTGCCCAAGCTAGCATGCCATTAAAGTTTTGGTGGTATGCATTCCAAACAACTACCTATCTCACACATAGGTTTCCCACACTTGTTTTGGACAATTTATCACCCTTTCAAAAATTATTCCATACTGTCCCTAACATTCTACCATAAGAGTTTTTGGTTGTGCTATTTACCCCTTTATTAGACCTTATAACACTCACAAATTTAACTTCCATACTACCAAATGTACTTTTATTGGTTATAGTCTACATCATAAAGGGTATAAGTTCTTAGCTCCTTCTGGCAAAATTTACATTTGCAAAAGTGTTAAGTTTTTGATGAATCAAACTTTCCATTCCAAAATTCTGCCATTTCAACTCCAGTTTCATCTATTCCACCATTCAATTTTGAGTCATATTTACCTTCCTCTACTGTTTCAACTTGGCATGAACCTACTACTGTGATTGATTCCTCTCCCATGTTGTCTACAAACTCTCACTATCCTCTTACAAATGATCATTTGAACATATTAACCAAGACACATTCCACTCCAGTTCTGTCTTAGTCAAGTCCAATTCAACCTTCTACAACCTCCAAGTCTAATGATTCTCAAGTCACTAAAAATGTTGAACTATCTCTTGTCTCCATAGCTTCTAAAACTGGAGAGCCCTTATTGTCACTTGTTACCATCTCTTCTAATAACGCCTTTGACACTATACCACTTATAGTGACCTTATCTTTAGTAGCACCTTTACCCTTTGAAACAAATACCCATCCTATGATAACTAGAGCAAAGGCCAAAGCCCATAACATTGCTCGACTGACCTCCTCATCTCTAGATACCAGAGAACCAGTCATTGTGTCAAAAGCACTCTCCCATCCATCTTGGAAAGCTGCTATGTAGGCTAAGTATGATGCCTTACTGTCTAACCGAACCCAGGAGCTTGTTCTAGCCACCTCTGAGATGCATCCAGTGGGTTGCAAATGGGTTTTTAAGATTAAAACTAATCTTGATGGTTGTATACAGAGGTTTAAAGCTCACTACAAGAAAAATGACATTCTGCAACCATTTTTTTAGCAACTAACCAGAATTAGTTGCAAAAAGGCTAAATTTACCAACTGAATTGCCATTAGTCGGACAAAGAGCAACTCAATTTTGGGGTCCACATGTTCCAACTTTTGGCGTCTAAAGTTAATGTTCTGCGACTATTTTGTTAGTTGCAGAACAAGTTGCTTTAGTGACTAATAAATTTAGTTACAATTTTTGGTTGACCATTTTTCCCTCNTCATGTTTGCTGTTTGGCTGCTGCTCAAATAGGAACTTCTTCATTCTACAACCGTATATATCCTTGATAATTTTATTTTATTTTTTACATTAAAGACAACAAGAACAACGATGAAAATGAAATTAAAAAAAAAAAAAAAGTAGCATTTTTTATTATTTTATTTCCTTTTATTATAATGAACGGTACTATGTTTATTATAACATATTTTGAACCATTAAATCAAATACGCTTTAAATGGTTGATATTCACTGGCGTAATTAGGGATATTTTGGGTTATATTGTAATTAACTACAATCTTATAGGGTATTTGTAATAATATTGAAAAAAAATTCAAAAGCCCGGCCTAGCCCAAAGGCCAATGAAATTTAGCAAGCAATATATATATGATGTGATTTATTTATTATTATTATTAAGGTATTTGAGATTAATAAATCCATACAGGAGTGAAAGGTCATGTTTAACCCTACAAATTTAATATATCAAGATAATTGCACAAATGTGAAAGATCATATTAGAGTGAGCGGAACCCTACAAGCCTAAAGGTAATTGCACAATATGGAGAGATACAAATGTGGTAGGCAGTAACGGATTCAGAAATTTCTGTTAGAGTAGGCCAAAATAAAAACTAATTACACATTAATATTTTTGTTATGGTAGGCCAAAATTCAAAAATTATATATACTAGTATTTTAAAAAAAAAAAAATTTGAGAGTGGGCCATGAACTAGACTGAATCCACCCCTGGTGGTAGATACTTCTCTTAGGTATAGTTAACTCAAGTGGCTAAAGGGTTGTGGATGTAGCATTACTCTTAAAATTTTATTCACATATTTTTTATTTCCAAGATTAATAGGATTCTTTGACCTTATTACCTCATAACAGTGTTTTCTTGACTGAAGTCGGGCCACATTTTCTTTGGTAGACTTTCTACGTCCCTTGAGTAGTTGAAAAAAGCAGCCAGATGACCGGCTGTTTAAGTACAAAACAAGCTAAATTTTCTTATTCATCTTAAACTAAAGAAAAAGAATTAAATATTGTTAAGATCTTTGAAGTTATGAAGAGATATTCGCAAGAAAATTTGATAGTGAAAGAAAAACTCTCACCTGAGACTGAGAAGGCATTGAAGAAGAGATGGAGAGTAGCTTCTACCTGTACTCTATGCGCCATTCATATACTCAACGATTATCACAAGGCTGCTGCAAAGCGTCGCGCTAATCAGGTCAGTTGATTATTTCATCAATTTTTCGGGATAATTTTGGTAATATTTATGCATGCAAGAGTATGAAAGATCTTCACGAAATTTTCTAGTTTAATTTATATAGAATTCAGGAAAAGAGAATAACAGAAAATGCAGGAAAATGGAAGAAAATTAGCCAAACAAGTCTAAATCTTAATGAATATCTACACTTGTGGACTCCGGGAAGTCTTTCCTTGATAGTTACATTGAATTTTTGAAATATTACCATATTGCTTAATTTGAGGAGGATCTTGTCGCAACACTTGAGTTGTTCAGTACTTTAATTTCAATAATTTATTTTAGAGTTAATGATTTTTTCCCACCCCAACAAAAGCTTAATGATACTTTCACAATCACAGATTTTTTAAATACTACTTTAGTACCCAAAACACAATTTTGTTAGTAATTTTCGTTGCGAGAAAATACAAAATGGTTAAAAGTTTGTCATAAGTGAGAGTAGAATGGTCAACAAGTATTTTGCATCTAAAATCAAAAATTAAAATTCCAGAAGATAGCAAACGGTGGAGGGCGGCAACTCATGATAGATGAATGGTGAGTAATCAAATACCGAGGTTTGAGGGGTTTTGAAGAGGGAAGATCGGAGGTTGAAAGTGTGGTAGAAGATTGGATTTTACCGCTGGAATCAGGCGGAATTGGTGCAAAAACAATGAAACCCTAGGCAGTGGAGAGCCATGAATGACGTGCAATTGGCATTAAGAAGGTTGGGGGTTTTGGAAATGAGGGGCCAGTGAGTTGATTGGTGGTCTCAAAAGGGATTTTCGATGTCAGAATCAACCAGAAAAATGAAAGAATCTTGCGAACCAACCAGTCAATTTCATTATCGAAAATCGTCTCTATCACCACCAATCGACTCATTGGATCTTTCTCTTCAAAAGCTCCAACATTATTGATCCTGTTTGCTCACCAATCGTTGACGATTGAAGCTTCCCCACCCTTGGCTTTTTCGAGTTGTGATCAATTAAAGGGTTTAAGTTGTTCAATTTTTGTGTTTGTTGGGTTGAAAGACGATTGAGGAATGTTTATTTGCAATATTTGTGGTTTGTTTGTTGATTTTCTAGTCGCCGGCACTCCTCAACACTGGCAGCAATTGTCGGCAATAGAAGAGGCTAAGAAGAGAAGGAAAAGAGAGATTTTTTTTTTGGTAAAATACCATATTTCCCAGCCAAAATAGAGAGAAACATAATATTTAAGTAGTAAATGAATATTTTAAAAGTACGAGGGTGGAAAAGTGTCATTAAACTTTTTTTTTTTTTTTTTTTTTTGTCGGAAAAAGTCCTTAACTCTTAATTTTATTGTAAAACATGTTGACATCTTGTCGTCTTGATGAAACTATCATCAAATTTGGAGTATGTTGTGAAAACTCCACCTATGCATAGTAAATCTAATGAAAAAATGGATCAAGATCTTTTCTGTGTCATCATTACATTAATAAAAATTAAAACTCTTTAGACATGTTGTGAGATCTTTAAAAGTGAATCATAATAGAGGATACGAATCTCGTTACATATTTGTAACGTGTTGATCTTGATTTATAATCTAACAAGAAAATAATTTGTTCATATAGATCATTATAGAGCGGATCTTTGTTGCGACAAACTTTGTCCTAGAGGTTCCATCGGCCGTTTTCGATCAGCTTTCTTCCAATCATAAAAATCAATATTTACTTGCAGCCATGTTGATGTCTCTTGCCACATTGCTTATTTGCATAACTGAACTAGTTTACCAAGCTCTTAAGGCAAGAGTTGCTTGGAAATGGAGGCAGAAAATCATACCTTGGTTTTATTATTCATCTCCAGGAAACAGGCACAGGCCATTTGGTTCCGTCACTGATATTATTGGATTACTCTCTGCAATTTTCCAGTGTATTTTCACCACAATTACATATGTTTTATATCGTCAAGGCAGTAAATGTCCAGTTCAAATTTCCATTATGCCTCTTGTATTTGCCTTTTGTGTACTGTGTTCTAAGTTTCAGAAGAATTCTGAAGAGAGCCCGGCTTATTATTCTGGAGAGGTTAGGCATTGGAGGACGCTTTGAGAATGGTTAATTTTCCAGTTATGGAATTGCTGTAGTATTTGCCATTTGGTTGAATTTGATGCTTCTTTCATAAGATTTTACTGATTAAAATGTGTATGGGATTGTGTATGTATATAAGAAACACATTGATAAGACGGTTTCATCACATCGTTACGCTGATTTGCTGAGAATATCCTACTGAAATTAATCTCATATATATTGTCACATTCTTGTATGTCCACCCCTCATTTGGATGGTTTTAAGAAAATATCACTAAAGTGGTCAATTCAAATTGGATAATCAGAGTCTTAAATGGTGATTTAATGAAATTGTTTCATATAAGTTTCAAGATAAAAATTGTGCTTTAGCTTGAATTGTATTCAAAACTTTTGCATCAAGATAAAATTTGGATTACAAGTTAATTCAACAAAATCCTATATATATATATTTTTTAAAGTTGCTCTTACTTTCTCTCGATTTCAAGGCAAGTTTTAACCACCTTTAAGTAGTCGAGTAGTGCGACAAGGACTATTAAGTGTATTATTAAAAAAATCTTGACTTTGATTCTCTTCAATTGCTGATAAGTGTGGTTATTAGAGGTTTATTTGATCATTAACTTTTAAAATAATAAATAGTAGCATTTTTTATTAATTTATTTCCTTTTATTATAATAAACGGTACTATGTTTATTGTAACATATTTTGAACCATTAAATCAAATATGCTTTAAAATGTTGATATTCATTGGCGTAAACAGGAATATTTTGAGTTATATTGTAATTAACTATAATCTTATAGGGTATTTGTAATACTTGTAGATGCAAAAAATCTACCGTTACGGAAATAGAGTCTAATTCCGTGAGGTTGAGGCCACCAGCAATCCGCTGCACCTGCGCACACAAGAAAACAAGCGTGAAGCTTACAGAAAACACCAGGGGGTGTTCGCCGTAGGCACTCCGACGCTTAAGTCAGCAAGACTGGGTGAGGCTAATTTAGAGAGGGTTAGGGAAAGAAAAGGTTTACCAGAAATTTAGTTGGAGACAAAGGCTATGGCAGCAAAGTAAAGCTCTCGAGAGTGAGAGCTACGCGGTTAGAAGGTGTAATGTTTCGTGCCTGTGAGAGGATTGGCCTCTTGTTTAAATAGCAGTTATAGGATCTTCGAGTCCTAGTAGGACTGTGAGTCCTTGGGAGTTGAGATTTAGTAAAAACGGAGAGTCTTTGACTCCCTTACCTTCGTGGGAAAGAGAGTCCCAACGGGTCTAAGATACAGATCTTAGACGAATTAGGATAGTAATAGATCTCTCCGATAGAGTTTGGATAGTTAAGTAGGCAACCCTAGGCTCCAAGTAGACCCTAAGTCCAGTAAGTGGTCTAGGATCAATGGGCCCAAACCCATACAAGCTGATGATGAGGTCCAAACAAACTGGGGGCTTTTATTGATTGGGCTCAAGCAGTGAGCAACATGGCAGGTGTAATGAGTGGGTCTAATATGCAGACCATGTCATGGGCCAAACGAGATTGGGCCACGACTCGAACTTTGTTGAAGGTGTCTTCCCCTTAGGCCTATTGAGACCGAAGACATTTTGTGGCCCTAACAGTTTGCCCTCCACTGTCTAAGTTAAGGAGTGTTTGACTTAGAGAGTAGTTATAGTCGTGTGAAGGTGTCCATAGTTGGACTTCTAACTTGGCAAATATTAATGTAGACGACAGTTCTTCGGTTCATGGGGCCACATATAGAATGGAGTCCATCATAAATGATTCACTCGATGCGCCGGACCAGGTGCTGAGTATGAGGTGTAGGTCGAGTTTATTTTTGCTTGACGTATTGGGGCGAGTGAAAGGCGCAATAAGCATAGGTCTTGCTTGGTGCTTCGGACCGAGGGAAAGCATGAAAGAATCTGCTAGAGCTGTCCTCACTCGGTATGTCGAACCGGGTGAGAGAATGTGTGAAACGTCCCATGAAGGTGTCCTCACTCGGTGTATCAAACTGAGTGAGAAGATGTGCGAACCATCCTATAAAGGTGTCCTCACTCGGTGTATCGAACCGAGTGAAAGGATGTGCAAACTATCCCATGAAGGTGTCAGCACTCGGTGTATCGAACCGAGTGAGAGGATTATGTAAACCATCCCATGAAGGTGTCCTCACTTGGTGTATCAGATCGAGTGAGAAGATGTGCGAACCATCCCATGAAGGTGTCAGCACTCGGTGTATCGCACTAAGTGAAATACGTTAGGGTCATTTTGGTGGTGGTACCTTCGGCTGATTGGTTGAATCCGAATGAGTAGGTGCATGTGCACTCCCTAGCATGTGGCTGGCTCACTCGGTCGGGTTGACTGAGTGATTGGGTGCTTTGTCACTTCTTGGCGGAGTTTGTCACGGGCTGAAGGGCCGGGGTTAAATAATACGTTCGATCATTCTGTTTGGTCAGGAGGACCGACTGACTGGGTGTAAAGTATTATAGAGGTGTTTGCTTGACCATGGGAGATGAATAGTTGTATGTAAGAAATGCCTACTCGGTCAGGTTGGCCGAACGATTGTGCTGGGCGCGTACATCCAATCATGTCCTTCGAGTGTGCGTGGGTTGGCGACACGTGTGTGGTGGAGATCACTCCTCTGTTTGGGCGGGAAAACGAAAAATCGCTTTGTCTCGCAACCAATTGAAGGCCGCCATGTGTATCGTTTGCCAGCTTTTGTCCATAAAATCGATGAGATGACTGTTCATCTTCATTTCATCTCGTCTTCCATTCTCTTTCTTCGCATTTTCTCCCCCTTTTCGACTTTTTTCAGTGGCGATGGAGATCCTTTTGAGGATTTTAGCCATTTTCACGGTAAATGCTAGTTCCTTGCATTGCTTTCCGTTTCCTTTCTTCTTTTCTTTGTTTTCTTTGGCATTTTTGGAGAGATTTGAGTGGAGTTTGGTAGAGATTCTTTTATTTTTTGGAAGGGTTTGAAAAATAGGAGGTGCCGTGTTCATTTGTTTTGAGTGGGGTAGATTCGGTGGCGGCTTGGTTCTTTAATTTATCAATTTTATTAAAAATTTTCTTTCTCCCTATAAATTTATGTGGGTTTCAGTTTATCCATAAATTCAAATATCTCCATCACCATCATTCATTATAAAAAGAGCACTAATAAAACGAAAGTCAAGACAACAAACTGTAAAACTATAAAGTAGCTTATACNAAAATATTTAGATTATTTTTTAACCCCCTACATTTTAGCTAAAGACCCTGCAAAATAAAAGTTTATAAATTAAAAAAAACACTTTCACTCACCTAACTGATTGCCGGTAGCTGGCTATTACTATCAGACGGTGGCTAAAAGTCATCGGAATGACGTATGATTGGTTGGATTTGGCTGGTCATGCACCAATCTGTCTGTTTTTGGCCAAATCTATTACCAAATAACGACCAAGATATGGTCGTTATCAACGGCCAGATCTTTGGTTGTACATTTGGATGTTTCCGACTAGATCCATGGTGAACATGGCTAGAAAGAGAAAGATCGGCTAGATCTAACTGATCGTGAGTCATTCCGATGCTGACGGTGATTGTTGGCAAGCGATTGTTGCTTGAGTAGAATAGAGATTTTTTTTGTTAATTTATAAACTTTTATTAAGAAATGTAATTGTTAAATATTTTGAATTGAATATAATATGATTGAATTTTGAATTAAATAGTTAATATTAAAATAAATATATTTTTCGCTTTTTAGGGTAAGATAATAAAATAAAATAGGACGATACTATGAATCTAAATTCTTTCTCTACCAACATTAATATTTGATATGGACATGGGTTAGCTGACAAATCAAAACAAGACAGAGCAGGCATCAACGTCTCTGACTTGTCGAAACTTGATTCGTTAAATGTTATACATGGTGCTGCTTCTGTTAGCCATTGATAAGGTAATTAATAATATTCCAAAACTGATGGAGCCTGCGATAACATCAGTCAACTAGTCCTTCATTGTAACTGTCATTTCGACAAAATTGTTCAAAGGATGTGCACTGACTAATTAGCAAACAACACAAACGAGTGGAAACCGGATCAATTATATGTCGATAGAAATGCTTACCCATGAATATTTATTTAATCAAATAAATATTATATTTAATATAAAAAAATATTACATCTAATATAAAATGATACTAAATACAAAAATTATAACATAAACGTAAAATTTTATATTAATAGTAATTTAATTTTCTGAATTAATTTTTATTTTGAGTTATTTTAATTTAATATTTATATTGAATAAATTTATATTTTATATTTTTTATTATTTTTTAATTATATTATTATTATGAATTTATTATTATAAATAATAATTAAATTAAATTAAATACAAATAATTAAATTTGATGTGATTTTTGATATAAAATTTAATGCTAAAATTAACTTAATAAAATTAAAAAAACAATAAAAAGCAAAACCATAAAAAAGAAAAAAAAAATTTATTGGCGCTATAATACCACGCCATTTTGGCGTGGCGTTCGGAGTGGTTTGGCGTGGCGTTTGGAGTGGGTTGGAGATGCCCTTACTATCAGCTGTCATGTCTGCGCCATTAGTCCTTGAGTCATCACTAGTTGGAGCTGACTTGTCTTCACACATTTATTTCACTTTCTTCCATTGGCATTAATTGCTTCTGCAACTTCCCATATCAATCACTGAATCAGAGATATAGGGCCACGATTTCATACAATAATTGCTTCTGCAACTTTTGTATTGATTTTTAAAAAATGGGCTACGATTTTTTTTTTTTAAAATTGACCCAGATTGCACTGTAGTTGCTTCAACACTGAGATTAATGGCATGTGAATTAAATCATCAATCACAAAAGGAAAAAAAATAAAAAAAGGACACTAATTTAATATGATTTAACTTATAGCTTACATCCACCATGAAAAGAAAGACGTTAATATCTCAAAGAATAGAAGTGAAAGTGAAAATTCATACAACTTAATAAGCCAAAACCTAGTGTGAAAAAACCCAATAAGAGGCCAAATCATATAATACTTATTAATTATATCAGCAAATTTGAATCTTTGTAACAATATT